ATGAAATCCTTACCTATCTCTATTATCTCTATTGGTGAGCCTAGCCACCTAACGAAAGAAACTTATCTCTAACTGCTTATTCCACAATGCTCACGATCATAGGTGATGGTTGGAATGTAGATCTGCTAGTGAATTGGAAGTTTTGACTTCCGGCTCAACACACAATGGTCTGATACTACGCGAGCATTATGCCCGAGATACCTTAACTCCTTTGTTTGGGGCAGTAACTCACTCCCAACCTGGAAGGAGCAATCCACCGTTTTCCGGCAGAGAGCCATGACCTTAGACTTGCTGACTCTCATCCCGACTGCTTCACAGTCACTCCAAACCACCCCAGTGTAGGCTAAAGGCCACGACCTGATGAAGCCATTATCTGCAGGGAGCTTAGATGCAATATATCCACAACTCGACAATATCCCCAGACAGGGGCAGTAGTTCTCCTCTTCTGATGAACATAGTCTGAGCTCTAATTTCCTTCCCTGAGTCAACTAATTCTATAATTTCCCTTCGGGGATAAATAAAGTATTTCTATCTATCTAATGGTTTGCCAGAACTTCTTTAAGGCCAACCAAAAGTCGCCCCAAACTCCCACACCCAGGTTTTTGCTTTGGCCTCCCAGTACCTGTCAGCTGCTTCAGGAGACCCCTGTGCCATAAAATGAATCACTGTACAAAAAATAGTTTAAAATGCCATCCCAGAATATCCCAGGACTATCTGAGTGGCTTGTGTCCCGCTGTGTATCTAACTTATATTGGATCAGGGTCTGGATTATGTCTCAGAGAGCTGCACAAGTAAGCCTGCATGCATAGCTGAGTATCAAGACTGCCCTAATTATAGTACTATGGGGCCAACCTATACTTACATCAACTGAGCTGACTCTCACACATACACTTACGGGATGCCAACTGTGCCATAACTCAGGAATAGAAACTCTTTTGGTTTTGTAGAATTTTCTTAGGAGGAACCTGGACAGCTTGTAAAAAGGATTTGAGAGGACCAAGACACCACAACACAGACTTGTAATTTGATCACAGCCATCCAGACACTGAACATTTCAGAGACGCAGGGACAAACCAAGATTTAACACCTTGACAGGCACACATACACAACAGAAGTCTCATTTAAAGTGGTACTCCAGCAACTGAGTGCCCACAAAGTTGGGAGCAAGAGACATTCACAAAAGAATGGTGATGCAGCTGAGCCAGAGTTCACCTGACAAGTAACTCAATAGCATCGTTGACTAGAATTACTTTGCCTAAAAAATGCAGACATCTTTCAAACTCCATGCAAACTGATTCCTTCTACAACTCCTAGGCCATTCCTGCATGGGTCCAGTTTTGCAAACCCGTATCCGCCCGCACCTGCAGAGATTAGAACAGGAACCGACCCGTTACCCAAGTCAAATCCGTACCCAACCCAACCCGTAACTCGTGCTCATATACTGCTCAGGTACTTGCGCAATTATAAGTGTAACATGTAGAAACATGGGTTAAAATCATAATTAACTGTTAAGCTGAATCAATCACCAACTGCTGCTGCGTCCATACGATCAGCTGGGCACTGATGTCAAAAAAAGCCCTGTGTCAGTTTGCTAAGTCTCTCTCCAAACACAGGTTGATATGATGTGTCTGCATACAAACTTTACAGCTCTGGCAGGCTTGGAGTTGTGTTATTGGAAAAGTTTCTATTAACTGGCGCAGCTCCTGTGCTCCTACTGCAGCTGTATGTTTTCTCAGGGTATGCTTTTGGCTTTCATATTATAAGAAAATCGTCGATATTTAACTGATTTAAATGTTAAAAAGACTGCACAGTAATTTTTATTTCTAATTTCGTCACAAAGAACAACACATTTAAGTTCTCACCCGCTACCCGCCTTCATTTAGTTTAGCAAAAACTTACAAACCCACAAAACAAATGCCAAAGAAAAATGCTGCAAATACCAAAAACACACAAAACCCCAAAACAACTGCAAGAGAGAAAAGCTGATAATTCATCCACCAAAACGAGTGCGCCAGGCACTGGGGGGCGACTGAGGGATGGACCAGTCATGAAGGAGGAAGAAGAAAAAAGTTGGGCGATGATGTTAGACAAGGCAGCATAGTGTACGTGGGTAATGTTAGCGTGCATTAACTATTAATTTATGAGAGATTTGGTTTTATGTGAGGGATAAATGCCTGGCCAGGTGTCCACTTATCTCTAATTAAAACTAATGTTAGACCCATAGAGGAGGGAGGGCAGGTGGAGAGGTTCAAATGAGGGACGAGAAGCACTAGAAGACCACAAGTCAAACACCGCTATATTTTGCTGAAGTGGCAATATTAAAAAGGTTTTATTTTATGTTATTCTTCTTCTTCTTCTTCCCTATGTCTTCAAGGTCGGTTCCCACATGGTCTAGTCCATCCCTCAGGTCGGGGGTCCCCAGGTGGCCTGGCGACTTCCGTTTGTGTGGACGTGGAATTTGCAGCGTTTCTTCTGGCAGTTGTTTTTTGTGTTTTGTTTGTTTCGTTGGTATTTGCAGCATTTCTTTGGCGATTTGTGTATGTGGGTTTGTAAGTTTTTGGTTCTGCTTCGTTTCTGTGATTGCAGCATTTTTCTGTTGCTGCGTTTTTCTGTTGGACTTTGTTTTATGTGTGTTGTGTGTTTTTGGTTTTGCATCATTCCTGTGTTTGCAGCGTTTTGCCGTTTGCTGCGCATTTGCTCTTGTCGGCCACCGTATGGATGGGCTCTACAAGGCCCTACTTCCCTTGGTGAGTAATGTGATTCTACACAATGTCTGTTCACATCACAAGTCCCCTATGTGTACGTTATGCAACCCCTTTGTTAAGGAAGAAAGTGTACCTGAACTGAATGCCCCTTTTGAATCTATTCACAAAGTTATGCCCCTTCTCCGTCAAACTGAGAGATGTTTTATTGCACCCCTATGAGCTGCTTTCTGACTGTGGCACCAACTTCAAGGGAGGAGACCGAGAGCTATGAGATGCATTTGCATCCATGAATCCACTCAGGTCTATTAAAGCTGTTCTCAGGGTGACAGTGGGAAGTCAAACCATTTTGGAGGAAGTCCTACACAGTGGAGATAGAAGTCATTCTAAATTCCAAACCAATTCTCTATGAATCCTCTGATATAGCAGATCCTGATCCTATTACCCCAAATCTCCTTCTCATGGGGCGGCAAGATGCTTCTCTTCCACAGGCTGTCTATGCAGATACCATCTTGCTGTGACGGAGACGATGGAGGCAAAATCAAATACTAGTTGATTGGTTTTGGGCCTGCTTCATCAAAACTACCTCCCTAACCCACAGGTACGAAATAAATAGCAAAAAGACACTCAGAATCTGAAGGAAGGAACAGTTGTACTAATAATGGACCCCGAATTGCCGAATTGCCTAGAGGTCTATGGCCTGTAGGAAAAGTGTCACGCTTGATTCCCAGTCAAGATGGGAGGACCCAAACTGTGGAGGTCACCACTAAAAAGAAGAGGTTTATTAGACCAGTGGCCAGGTTGGTCACCCTTTCATCAGTTGAACCTGATCCGAAGGACTAACTTGTGATTTGTTTATCAAATTCAAATGTACCATTTAAAGGGGCGGCTGTTAAATCGCAAGTCTCCTCCCCACCTGCATCACTGCCACTCCACTCTAAACCACTCCTCCAAGATTATTAAGCTCCACCCTTCAGGTCTGATTTCCCTCTTTTCCCTCCAAATACTGTTTTCAAGTCCACATCCATGGCGGTTCAAAATAGTGGCCTCCATAAAAGGTGACCCGCAGTGCCTGTAGATAAAAACGTCTCATTCTAAGGTAACAAAACCAAAACAAATCTTAAATTCAGGTGATTATACAGTAATGAAAACATACCTATGAATATTATATTCCATTTCTGACAATAGACCCCACTGGACCTTTAAGAATCTTTCAAAAACATAGTGGAAGCTGATTTTCATATTCAACTTGTCATCACTTTATTGTTTTGCTTTTGTACATTTTGTAACTGGACATTCTGGAAAAGAAACAAAGAGAAAGGTAACAGAAACAAGTTCCTTTGACAGTCATCATGAGCATCATGCTTTTGGCTAAAACGATGAGAGGATCATTACAGAGAGCGCCACAAACAGCAAAACGCAACAAATACAAAGCCGTTTTCTTTTATGTACATTGTAAACCCCTGTATCATACATACACACGCATGACTCGGGCCTCTTAAAAGTCTATCTGTAAAAAATCTCCAACAGCAGGAGAGGAGCATCTGTCTGTCTTTACATAAGACAGCAGCCAAGTGTCGGAGCTCAGTAACTCTTTGACATAATACAGAGGGCAGAGTAGAGAGATGGTATCTGAGTGGAAATGAGTGAAATAGTGATGGTCAATACAAGAGTACACTCATTTGAATGGAGGCAACCTCCGGGCTGAGCAGTCACGTCCCATAGCAAGTAGCAGGGTTCACTTCAGTAATGTGGCTGGCTCTCTTCAAGTAGCTCATTCATAGCTTAACAAGTGTTGGCTTGGCTTGGCTTGATTTGATTGATACAATGTAGGAAGGAAAGGGCGCAGGGGGATGATTCACTCACTCATTCATCTGGTTTACCAGAATCAGGGTTGATCTATAGGCACCTGTTCCTCCTCTGCATGGCCCCACACTGAAAAATCAGCCAACCACTAAAAACTAATCACGTGAAGCACTTCTAAAATTAGTCTGATGGTAACCAAGACTGTGATTAATACAACTCCAATATTTACCTGAAGGGCTCGGGAGTGCCCTGCATGCTGTATGGGTTTCATTTTTAAAGATTTCTTCAGGAAGAGCTTTTTTTCAGGTCTGTGCTGCTTGTTGGAATTTAGTCTCCTTGAGAATATTCTCCTAACATTCACCACTGATGATGTTGTAATCATGCGCCAGTGTTCTGCTGGACTGCTTTCTGTCACAGGACAGCAGAGAATGATAACAGTTCTGTGCTGGAGATACATAACAGGGTTAGAATGATATCGATCTGCTCATGTTGTCTTTAAAGGAATAGTTTGTCATTTTGGTTAGCACGCTTAATTGCTTCCTTGTAGACTAAAGTGTATGCTAAATATGAAGCTATCTCCAGCCGCTGGTTAAGTGAGCTCAACAGTGGAAAAATGTTGTTACCTTTGGAGAGCTCGAGGCTAGCTATTTTCTGTCTCTGTATTAAAGCTGCAGTATTTAGTTTTTATAAAAATAACCTTTTGTTATATTTGCTGAAACTTTCACTGTATCTTAACAGTAGTACATGAGACAGATAATCTATGAAAAAATCAGGTACTCCTAATGGCAATCCACCGGGCCTGAATGAAAATAACCAATCAGCACCAGACAAAGATAGTTAATTGTCTCATTCCCAGGCATTCAAATACAGACACTGAGAATGAGACTCAACAACAATCTACTATCTTTAAGCCTCCAACTTAAAGTGTCTTTCTATTTTTCTTGGCTCTGATTGGTTTTCATTCATTTTTCAGATTATCTGTCTCATGTACTACTGTCAGGATACAGTTTAAGTTTTAGTAAATATGACAAAAAGTTATTTTTACAAGTTACCTACTGTAGCTTTAAGCTAACTAAGTGTATTTCACACACTGTCAAACTATTCCTTTAATGTCATGACTATGGTGTCATTTGATTGATATATATTGTGTAATTTAGCTACAGTAAAAGACATTATTTGTCTGTGGGAAGCCCTTAGGTTGAGTTGCTTGTCAAGCAAAAGTTTTAATCAGGTTCCACCCATGTTCGAAAAGCAACTTAAAGATTATAGTGGAAAAATGAAACAACCACAGATTTGCAGATTTGAAAAAGGAAAAAACACAAGCCGCAAACCATGAATATGGGCATCAGTCTACACAAGAACATCGACTGTACAGCTCTAATAACATCACTGTTGATTACATTTCACTGCTCTGCCACTGCTGACAGAAACACAGAGGCGATCTCGCTGGCTTTCAAAAATCATTTTTCATATTACACACAAAACATGTATCATGAAAGAGATGAGGCATCATTTCTCAACAAAAATGGTCCTTGAGCATTTTTGCTCTTTCCTTCCATTACTGCATAGTTCAGCAGGCGTCCAGCACTGCTAAGGCTACACTGACGGCGCGGTTAATGAGCAGAAAAACCTGTACTTTTTTGTAAGTTTCTACCGGAAAGCAACAAACACATATTTGTATTTTAGTCTTCCAAATACAAAAGGTTGCTGCTCCTTGTCATTTCTGCGTTGCATGTAGCTTTTCCTTTTCTCCAACTTCAGCAGCTCCACCGAACAGTCCGCTGCTTTAGGGCATCGGGTTCATAGTCCCATTCAGAGCTGTTCTGTATCATTTAGAGCAAATGGACCAATATTTTGACATTAATAAGAGACCCATTGTTTTGGAAGGAGAAGCTAATATTTTGATTACAGTTGTGGTTAACATGGTCACACCAGGACATGGAAACTGAAGTAAAAAATAATAGGACATTTAATTTATCCTTTCTTCTGTTACATTGTAGAACTTCCCAGCATAATTTCCATCCATATCAGTTGGACACAACAAAGCTAACACCATAACCACAGTTCTCCCCAATCCTTCCCTGATCTCCAAAGTCTCCCAAATGAAACCAAAGTGACATTTGGAAACGGAGACAATGGAAAGACAGAATTTATGTAAGGAAATCAGATGAAAGTAGCTTCCCAGAAGATGATTGAAAGAAATTAGGTCAGAGAAACATCCTGCGATGACAAAAATAAAAACCTGCATAAGTTAGACTAACACAAATGAAAAGACGTGCAGAAACCATCATTTGACAAGCTTTGGCCCACTGTGTTGTGTGCAAGGTGAAACAGCAGAGGACATTAACTGTCCCATCAGAGGAGAATTCCCTCTGGGTCTCTGTCCTGGAATAAGGAGGGGGTGGTGGGGGGGCGGGATAGAAGCGAGGGGGGAGAGAGGGGGAGAGAGAAACAACTGGTTTAGCTCTGCCACCTTGCTGTTCTTCCCCCATGAGGCCAGTGGGTGGGGCTGTTGCGCCGCAAAAAACACCCCCTCTCCATTCCCTCGACACACAAGTCAGTGCTTGTTGGACATAAAGAATAAAAAATATATACATTAAAAAAACAGAATGTGACAAAAACAAACAACAAAAAAACCCCAACAAGAACAGCAGCGTCAGTGACGACTCAGTCGATCTTGACCGCAGCATAGATTTTCCTGATGAACATGTACGCTGCATAGAAGCCGATCGTGCCCGTTAGCAGCCAGAAGGACAGGACCATCAGCGCTGTGTAGCCGAAGTATAGGAGAGAGGGGATGAACTCCACAATGTCCAGCTGGAGACAAAGAAAGAGAAGACAAATCGATTTCAACATGCTGGCCATTTCCCAGCTTTTGGATTTCTACTTAAGGTACTTGCATACCACCAAAGCCTGGTTGGTAACAACCTTGTAAGAGGCAGATTTTTTAAAATGGACAAAAACCAAAGCAGCAGAGGGCCGAGATCTTCTGACTTTTAGTTCTTTAGTACAGCCCTCAGTTATGAAGTACATTACACAGCTGGCTTTATCAAACTGTCAACATAATGGTCTGACGGTCGGCGTGAATAAAAGACAGTCCGTCTGATTGTTACTGTGCTTGTATTGCTCTCTCTGAGCCGAGGGAGCTAGAAATATCACATATCATCAAATATCAAGTCGTATCTGTGGTTCATCCTATGTACTGGAGTGGTGAACAACGGCAATGCATTAGAACTTTATGGGATGGTAATGATTCTTCCAGGTATTAAAAAGGACCTCAGGTGTTTCCAGGGAAGGGAGTTATTGCTCGTAAAAACTTATGATTTTGATTGAAAAACTCATTAAAATACTAATGATGTCATTTTTTGTCTTTGACAAGTGATCATGGTATAAGTGGAATAATGCCCTTCGAGGTGTCCATTATCAGGAATTAATCGATGACATGGAGACAATAATGGAAACCTTGAAGGGCATTATCCTTCACTTATTATTACATGACACACATTTTGCCTGTTAACAGTGATTTTTTCTACTGCAGTGACTTAAAGTTGTGGATATCTGAAATGTCAGAAAGAGTCCCCGGGCCTTTACCTTGTTGACGAAGTAGAAGACTGCGTAAATGAGGACGTAGAACGCTGAGCCCCCTGACACCAGGAAAGTCCTCCACCACCATCGGTAGTCCTGATAGTGAGGAGATACAGAGAATACCCAGCACAGTTGGCACACACACACTGTTGGTTTTTTTTTTGTTTTGTTTTATTGTTCTGTAAATTACAGTTTACTGAACTGTAGTCACACCGATCCTTAATGGACTTACCTCTGCACAGAGTTGGAAATAAACCATAACAATGCTGATCTGAGAGCAGGAGACCACCAAGATGATGAAGACCAGAAACAGGAAGCCAAAGAGGTAATAGAACTGATTCTCCCAGATTGCCTACACACACACACACACACGTTGACATTACTGTTCAGTTGAGGACCCAGCCCCTTACTTCACATCAGTTACTCATCCTCTCAATGTAATGAACAATTTGAGGAAATTCTGTCTGAGGCAGAGATGATCTGTCTGTCGAACTGATCACAGTGCAGCAAAACAGTTGTACTCACGCTGAAAATGAAGAAGAGCTCGATGAACATAGCACCGAATGGCAGGATTCCAGCCATCAGGATTCTAGTGGAAAGAAATGCAAGAAAACATGTCTCAACTCAATAATTCAAATGTTATCCTGTAGCCATCAGCCATCCCAGTAACTGGCCAAAGATAAAGGAGCAGATTTTGTAGGTCGGTTAAACACTCACCCGACAAACTTGTTCATGTACCAACGCTGCTCTGGGACCTGCCGAGGGATCTGGTTGGTGCGTACTGGGTTATCATATGGCTGTTTGCGGAAGCCAAAGTAGTAGCCCAGGTAGACCAAGGGCATGGAGATACCGAACCACATACACAGCAGGGCCAGCATTGTGGTGAAGGGGACCTGAAGTAGTTCATGGTTACAATAATTATGTAAATTTTTTGGACATTTTTTAATGTTTTTTTCTTGTTTAAAGTGTGTAAAGTATGTAACTGTGCAGATTGGCTCAGGTTGCTGTATAATTGTTACTGTGTGTTGTCTTTTCTGCACAGAAAAGAAATAAAACTACTTCAGCATCTTCTTCTACTCTACAGAGCACTGATGCAACTGTAAAAGCTAACTCTAGCTAGTTAGCAGCTATGAGTC